TAGGGGCCTGTTTATTGAAAGCACAGAGTGCCTCATCCTGTTTTTCATCTTGAATTCCTCTCAGGGGAGACTGCAGTGGGTTTCAACTTAACCCTTATATAGCTGGGTGATGAGCGATGCTCTATGTTCTTCTTTGCTCACAATTTCTTTGCTCATTAAAGTTGTTTATAGAATCCAGTTCTTTGTGTTTGTGGGGCTGAAATCCTCATTTCCTTGCTGCTGTCAGCTGAGACTCACCCCTAGCTCTAAAGGCCACCCACACTCTTTGGTTCCCTTCCTCCACCTTCAAAGTCAACAATGGTAGGTTGTGTCCTCCTCACACTTCTAATCTCTCCTTCTTCTTCTGTGAATATCACTAGCTACAGCCAAGAAGGTTCTCAGCTTTTAAAGACTCATTGGCCCACCTGGATTACCCAGGATAACCTCCCCATCATAAGATCTGCAACCCTTAATCACATCTGCTAAATCCCTTTTGCTATGTAAGGTTTCCTAGGTTTTAGGGACTAGGTGTAGACATCTTTTGGGGGTCATTATTTTCCCTACCACAGAGATGAACTAAAAAAGAACTTTCAGTTTACAACAGAATTTAGAGGAAATATAGAGGACTCAGAACAGTCCAGCAAAAGATTTTTAACATAAGAAATGGCCTCAGGATAAAATTTTAATCCAAGGGGATGGCTATAAAACTCCTTGTTAAGACCTCTGAAAGATTCAATCAGTGATTTGAAGACTTCCTTAGGTAAGACAAAGGGGTTTCTACAAATCTGAAGGGTCTCAAATGTGGCCCAATGTAGAGAGATGCCTATCTCAAAAAGAATTATGTCTGTGGCTTTGGGGGCAGGAAGTAAACCCCAGTCAGATTTATAAGAAGCCTGCAAAGTTTTTAAGGGAATTGTATTAACTTGGATTAAAAGGAACAGAGACAGTTCAAAATTTTAAAAAGGCCTCTGGGCCTCCAACTTTGTTTGGGCCGGAGGCAGACTGGGAAAGCTACTCAACTACAAACAGGAGTCGTACTTTATGGAAAAGAAAGGACTCAGTGGCAGGGCAGAGAGCCAAGGACAGCAATAGATGAGGAAACCCAGTAACACTAAGAGCAGAACTATGCCCTAATAAAGAAGCGTTCCCTGGCTCTAGTGTCAAGGGAGCTAGTGACATATGCTCAACTGGATTTCAGAATTCTGTGGTTCAGTGTACACAATGTTACACTATGTTCTTTCCATTCTAAATGCACATCAGCTCCCTCCCCTCACTTTATGAAATTGGAGTGTTTACTGCTGTTATGCTGCTCGTGTTTCACTGCTAAATGTTGGAGGATGGGGCAGGGGGAGATGAGGAAGGCACATAATTTGTCTTTTTAGTTCACAGTTCTCTGAATCAACAGGTGCTGTACCCAAGGAGCTGAACCTGTGGAATCATACCCAAGGAACTTTGTCTGCACCTGTACTTGATTTAGGTGACAAGATATACAAACATGACTTTGGTGATTAAATGAGACCTTGGGGTCTTAGGAATGGGCAAATGTAGTTTGCCCATGAGAGGGACATGAACCATTGTGGCCAGAGGATAGACTATGGTAGCTTGCTATGTAATGGCCTGCAATGAATCATGCCTTCCTGTGTTCCACAGCCCTTTGCACTGTGACATTGTCACTCCATCCATGAAGATATGGAATCTATTCCTCCACTGGCCTTGTGACTACCTTTGACCATGAAAAGAGGTCTCTGGGCCTCCAGCTTTCTTTGGGCAGGAGGCAGGCTGAAGGAGGTGGAAGAATGTGGTGAAAGTAACATTATTTGAGGTCCAGAGCCTAGATCTTAAGAGGCGCCAGAGCTTCCACAATCGCCCTCTTAGAACACTGCTCTGAGACTACTAAGCATGTGAAGAAGCCTTGTTTGAATGACTATATGGAGAGAGACTCGTGGCCATCCAAGCTGTCTCATCAGCTGAGCCCAGCCCCCAGCCAACCTGCTAGCTGAATGCAGCTGCCTAAGTAAGGCTAGGTAAGAGCAACAGAATGTCTACTCAGTCAACCAACAGAATCATGAAAAATAACAAATCACATTATTTTAAGCCACTGGGTTTTGATATAATTTGTTACTTAGTAGTAGATAACTGGAACTGTAGTTTAAGCAGCTTAAGTAAGTAGTAAGATATATCTCTTACTAGCTCATACATTATCTGTTTAATCATACAATTATTCCAAAAGTGAAAATGAATAGTGATGGCAAAGTATCATAATCATAAAAGGCCTTAGATTGATCAGTATTATTTAATATTTACTGAGTAACCATAAACTATAGAATTATCTTTAAACTAGAATGAAGTGATACTCATCTAATAAGTTTTTTACTTTTTGTGAAATTTGGCATTGTTGCAAATATAATCTCAATATACCCATTAACTGTATCACCCTCAATTGAATTCTGAAATTAATAGAGAAGTCATATAAAGAAGTAAAGAATGAAAAAAAAAAAAACCTTTATACTGATCATTATTACCTGGGCAATAAAGAAAGTCTAGCTGTAAAGATAAAATGGAACAATAAAATAGTCAGGTGGCAAAACTCTCATCTTCATCAAAAAGTCAAGAAATGCTCTTAACTTTCTTCCCGTTAACAATTGTTTTAGTAAGATTCTGGGACTGTGTAGGATTTGTTCATATACTCATTTGTTATTTATTTGGCAAACATTTATCAAGTGCTTATTAATGTGTCATGCATTGTGTTAGATACTGGAGATATAATAGTGAATGAGATAGATTTGGTTTCTGACCTCACAAAGTCAGTTGGGGATAAAAGGTGGGTGGGTAATGGAAATGTAAATACACTGCTACAATAAAGTGTGATAGGTGACAGGATAGGACAATAAAATCGCCCTTTGTCCTTCCGTATCCCTGGGGGATTGGTTCCAGACCACCATCTCCCCGCCACCCCCAAAGGATACCAAAATCTTTGGATACCCTTCCATAAAATAGCGTAGTATTACACAGTACAGCATATGACCTATGCATATCTTCCTGTATACTTTAAATCATCTCTAGATTACTTATAATACTTAATACAATGTAAATGATATGTAAATAGTTGCCTGAGCATGGCAAATTTACGTTTTGCTTTTTGCAACTTTCTGAAATTGTTTTTTGCAAAAAATTTTCACCTGTGGTTGAATCTGTGGATGCGGAAACCCATGTATATGGAGGGCTAACTGTATAGAAATAGGATTTTGTTGATTCTTTTTAAAAGTTTCTTTATCTCAATAGCTTCTAGGCTGCAACTGTAAAAACACTGTTGTTTCTTTTGTAAATTGTTCACTTTTGCAGGGAGTGCTACATCTTTACCCCTCACATTCCAAGTTCCTAGAGACCTATAAATGCCCTTGGATTATATCCTATGGGAATCCTATTTATTTATTTATTTTTGTCTGCACTAGGTCTTTGTTGCAGGGCAAGGGCTCTTTGTTGTGGTGTGCCAGCTTCTTTAGTTGCAGAGTGCGGCGGGGTGGGGGTGCGGGTGGTCTAGAACGCACGCATGCTCAGTAGTTGCAGTGTGTGGCCTTAGTTGCCAAACGTGAGGTGTTAGTTCCCCGACCAGGGATCAAACCTGGGCCCCCTGCATGGGAGTGCGGAGTCTTAACCACTGGACCACCAGGGAAGTCCCTGGGAATCCTTATATTGTGTTGTCTCCTGATGCTACTGATCCACAAAGGATGCTGCATAATAGAAAACATTATTCTTTGATTTTCCCTTAGGATTTCCAGCTGGTGCCTAAATGGAATTTTCAGAATAAAGAGTATCTTCAGAGGGCACGTAATATAAGAGGTAGTTTCAAATGTCTACAGTTTGCTTTTACTCATGCCCCTTTAAATCTCCAGCCCCTTTAAAGACTACCAGCCTCATTTTTGGTTTGTTTTTGGCTGTGCTATATAACAGACATCTTGAAGACCAGGACCATCCCCTATTCATATGTGTAGACCAGTAATCACATGATAATATGTGATGAATGACTCAAAGAACTATTGCAGAAAAATGATCGGTTTGAGACCATGACTATTTTCCCATTGCATTTTTTTATCTGGGCATGTTCAAAACTTTGATTTTAAAACCACTCTAGCAAGCCACCAAAAAAAAGAAAAGAAAAAAATAAACACAAAAAGCAAGATGAGAACTGTACTTAGCTTGTTTTTAATACTGTTTTACATGTGAATGATTATTTTAAGACATTACTAAAGAAAATAGTTATTTGTCTTACATTATTCATAAACTTTATTATCATATATGTGTCAGGGACAATACAGTACAAAAACAAAACTAAAATGACAACCTATTTTGTTAAATTAAACTTGTAAAAACCAACACACTATGCATAGTTTCAATAAGATAGTTACTAGAGTGCCAAACAGATATGTAAAAATTAACAAGGAAAAGCAGGAAATGGCACTGCTCATACAAAAATTTACGTCCTCTTAGACAACAGATGTTGAAAAATGATTTCCTAACAAAAGCAGCAGCCCTCGAGAAGGAATTGATAACCCTAGGAATAAGTTTTCTTTATATAATTGCTGCGAAGTTTGACAGCAAAGAACTCCTCTTCCTCCCTTGAGGAGTTAAACTTGGATTTGTGATTGCTGTAGTTTTCCTGTAATCAAGCCACAGGCCTTTTGCCCCCTTTCAGGCTGCCCTTCACTCTTCTTTTTCCTTATAGTTAAGGAAATGTGAAGTACAAAGAAGAAAGAGTTGTAACCCCTCCCTCCCACTTACCTCCTCTCTGCGTTCGGTTACTTGGCACCTTCCCCTCCCAGCGTTTCCCAGTCAGCCCTACTAAGTTCCCAGGGCTCCTGCTCCTCCCATTCTCCCCTCCCCCAGCTCTCCCGGGCCCTTTCTTTTTTTTTTTTTCTTCATCCGCTCCCCTCCCCTAGGCGTGCTTCCCAGCGCGCTTCTCTTCCCCGCCTCTCGATCCCGCATCCCCCCTCCCTGCCCGCCTCCTACCTTGTGACACATCCCGGGTCCTCCCGGAGGCGGCTGCAGCGGCAGTAGCACTAACAGCGCCTCCAACCGGAGCCGCAACCCCAGACTCAGCCTCCACCCCGGCCCCGGCGCCACTGCTGCAGTCATGGCTGCTGATGGGGTGGACGAACGCTCGCCTCTGCTCTCCGCATCCCATTCTGGAAATGTCACTCCCACGGCCCCACCATACTTACAAGAAAGCAGCCCCAGAGGTAAGGCCAGCATAGATCTTTCTACTTTGTAAGAAAAAGCCTAGGATGTAAAGACCAGGGAGTTCTGAGGCGGAGGCCAGCCTCTCACTTGGGCTGGGAGAGAGGGATGCTGACTGTGCCTTCTGAAGCAGAGCCTGCCTGCCTGAGAGCTTCACCGCAGGGCTTTCTCGTGGTGTAGTGTGGGGTGTGTGAGTGTGTGCGTGTGTGTGTATTTCGCCCCTTCTTACCCACGGGTATGGGATATGTGTGTGTGTGTGTGTGTGTGTGTGTGTGTGCACCGTGTCTTATCCACTGCTGTTGGTGTGTGTGTGTGTGTGTGTGTGTGTGTGTGTGTGTGTGTGTATTTCACCACTTCTGACCCAGGGGTACAGGATGTGACATGAATTTCCCAGGTTGGGCTTTGCTGTTTTAGAGCAGCTCCTAAGTGCAGCTGGATGGTTGTGCAAATCTTTCACAGTCATTCACAAATTCTTCCACGTTGCTGAGAAACCAGGAGTACTGCTCACCTTGGCATCTGTCCTTGAAAGGGCTTAGCTTGAAAAATATGCATTTTCTACCATTCACCCACCAGTAGTCTGTTCAATCAGGGAATTGCCTTAGCAAAAGGAGAAGAGTTAATCAATATTCCTAACATGTCTGAAATCTCTGCCCTTCCTTATTGCTTCTACTTGTAAGGAGTATGTGTTAGTTTTAGTGGTAAAATGAGGAATAGAAGAGAAGATGGAATATTTTTGATGCATATCAAAAATGCAGTGAGATTGAGTGCATTGAGTGAGATTGAAATTGACTTTTAAAAGTAACCCAAGTTAATAAAATAAATATTTCTATTTATTTCTCTTCGTAAAATGGAATCAAGAAAGATTTGATGGCAATGGGGTCTGAAGAAAGAAGGGGGAAATCTATTTACCAAACTATTCAATTTATTCCAAGATCTATCCTTGTTCTAAGCCTTTTAGTTGATTCCTATAGTAGAAATAAGGCGGAGTCAGTAGTTATAGAAAATGGAAGGCAAGACTTTAAAAAACCACTTAGAGCAGTGAAAAGGTTGGTCAAATATGGTACTTGCAAATGTAGGTTAAATGCATCTCTCCTTTTTGGCTGAATGTGAGACATTTAAAAACCCAAGGAGGCAAACATTAATGCCTTTGAAAATGTGGGTGGATCCTGTTTCCTGTAGCACAACTTTTTCTACGTTCAAGTCTGGAATTGGAGCAGCTGTAGAGCAGGTCGAACTTGTCAAGTATTTAAAATTTCCATTTAATACTTTATAACTTGAAAAGCAACAATCTAGATCTTAATCCACACTTAACAAGAAGCAGGACAAAGGAAAAGGATGTTTAGCTGTGAATAATTTAGTGTGATTAATGAGTTGAGAAATAAGGTGCAAAATGGTACAGATACTCACCCATAGAAAACCCACAAGTCATGTTTGTTGGTCAGCATTAAACACGTGTCAGAGGACACGTCTTGGGGGAATTTCCTTAAAAGGCAAATTTGATGTTAATGTGTTTACTGTTATCTAAACTGTATGGTCTACAACAGGTTTAAACACTTATTTAATGACTGTTTCAATTTCATCAATTCACCCTTTTAAGACAAAATATTTGATGATTTATTGAGAGACAGAATTTAGATTTAAGAAACTGTCCCATAACAGATTTTCATGCTCTCTATCTTGCATCTGTGTTTTTTACTTTTAGTCAGAGAGTGGCTAAATTATCCCACAAAAATGGTCATACTCACGGACCTGCTTGTAGACTTCTTTATCATTTGCCAAATAGTTGTTATTCTGATAAGACTTCTCAAAGCACAAAATATGGTACAAGTTTCAGCTCAGCCACTAAGAAGAAGAAGTTTCATTCCAGAAAACTTTTACCAAAGAAATTCAATGTGTTATAAAACAAAATTCAACTGTGTACATTTTAAAGATCTTATTGGCTTTATTTCGTGATTCATGAATCAGGCAGAATCCCGCCTAGCAGATAAAAAGGAGCTCTAAGGAACTGTACAAAATTAAAGACTCATATAGGCAGAAGGGAGTGGGACAGGGAAGTTATACTAGCAAAATGTGGATTGGTTGTGGCAAGGTCACTTTTCTTTAGGGGATGGCAGGGGCCTATTAGGCAGATGACCTCACTAGTGCTGATCAGGAGATTCCTGATTGATTGGGTTAAGAGTCCATTTCTGAGAGAGGCATAAGTGACTCCATTTTGGGTCTGTTGTCTTGTTTGTAACAATGTTTTAGCAAAAAGCTCTTTCTGCCTATTGTAGAACAATTTTTTTTTTTCTTAACTGTGAATGAGACAGGTTAGATAATTAGAAACACTAATTTCATGGCATATGGCATATGAAGCAAGAAGCATAAATGAGAAGTAAAAGGCATTTTTGGCAAAATATCTTTTCTTAATAAATAGCAAATAAGAATCTTGATAAATATTTTGAGTAAATACACAAGATCTGATTCTAGAAGAACAGTGCTAATTACTCATTCAGTAATTCATCAGGTGGGACAACGTGCCAGAGACTGCTCTAGGTAAACAAGAGTAACCAAATCCATGCCCTCATGGAACATGAGGAAAAAGAATAAGTTGAATCATTTCAGAATGTAAGAAACAGTCTGTCACTAGACCAAATATTTTCAGTAGTTGACAACAGTAGAGTTGAAGCTTGGGATTCAAAAGACCAGAAATAGAATGTACTTTATGGGAAAGAACTTTGGTTTATGATAATTACAATCTATAATTACCCAGACATTAAAAAAATTTCATAGAAGTGGTTAATAGCCATAACTAGGGACTATTTTCTCCAATTCAACTCTTCGCTATTTGTGTAACCTTCTAAGAACAGGAATGTGAGATCCCACCCCAAGATGAAATATTCCACTTCAAATTGAAAGTTGATGGAGTGTTTATTTATAGACAAGTTATCGATAATGTAGTGGGGGAGCAGTTAGTATTTTGCATCTGGTTTCATTTGTGTAACAAATCCTCCTGGGTTTCTAAGTGGAATGCTTCTAGTGGTCTTTGCTGTCAGTACTGGATTCCTGCATAGAGTAGGAGGACATCACCTCTCCTGTGATCACAGTGCCCCATTTGGTATATTTGTCAGTTTTTGTTAAATCATAGAAATTAAAATCAAAGAGAGTTTTAGGCTCATTTGAAAGGAGGTTAGAAAAAATACCACAAAACCTACAATTTGGCTATATTTGTTTGGTTTCTTTATACATCTGCTAATTTTATAGGAAGGATGTGGCAAATGAATATGACCTCTAAATTTATGAGACATCATCTGTGAAAAATGGTTTATATTTGAGTTGTCTGATTATGTATTGAATATGGGAATGTGATTATCTACTTCACTATAATTCTATAGGGAAAAGAGTACTTTGTTATACAGAGATAGTTTCACTTGCTTACTTTGTTTCTGTTATTTATTCAGCAAATAAATATTGGAGTACTAGCCAAGCTCTGTGGTAAGAAGGGAAAGACAGACATGGCTCCTCTTCCAGTCTAGTGGGGGATATTGAGACATAAATTACATAATCATTCAAACAAATGCAAAAGTGCAGTGGGGATGAGGACAGTGCTAAAAATATATCCAGTGCTGTGAGAGTATATAATGAAAAGATTTAACCTGGTCAGGAAAGGCTTTCCTGAGACTTGATTTAGCTCTGAATGCTTAGCAGTAGTTAGCTTGGCAAGGAGGGGATTAGAACACTCTAAGCAAAAAGAAAAGAAGTATGTGCAAAAGCCTTTAGCAGGACAGAGTATAGTAAGTACTAGGAACTGAAAGAAAGCCAGTGTGGTCAAAGTAGAAACAGCAATAGGGAAGGTGCTGCAAAATGGGAGTGGAGAGGTTGGTGTGGTTCATATTCTCCAGAGACTCTCCTTAGAACTATGCTTTTTGATATTCAAGTCCTTAGATAGTTTTTCTCTTGAATCTGGGCTGACATTGTGATTGATTTTGGCCTACAGAATAAGATAATACAGTTCTGAATGACTTCGGAGACTAGGTCACAAGAGGTCTTGCAGCTTTTGCCTTGGTCTCTTATAAAGTACACTCTGAGGAAAGTAACTTATATAAGAATTTGAACATCCTGAGACTGCCATGCTTTGAGGAACCGTTAACTAGGCACCTGCAGAGGCTATATGGAGAGAGGGTTGCCTGACCAGCCCTCAAACATGTGAGTGAAGAAGCCATCTTGGATGCCCATTTGAGCCTTCAGATGACTCCAAGCCAAGCCAAATTCTTACTGCACCTGCATGGCAGATTCTAGGTGATTAACATCCCAACTGAGTCTGAACAATCTACAGAATCATGAAAGCTAATATTAAATTGTTGTTTTAAGCCCTAAGTTTTTGGGTGATTTGTTCTGCAGCAACAGATGACCAGAACAATAAGTATTAATCAGTGCATGCAGGGATGATGGGTCATGTTGAAGAATTTTGCCTTAAGCAAAGGGGTGATCTGGTTAGATCTTTTATTATTTTTTAATTACTCTATCTATTGATTAGAGAATGAATTAGAGAAGGGCCAGAGTAGATGAGGATAGATGACTTTGAGTGGCTACTATAATGATTTGGACAAATCTGATAAACTGTGATGATAACTTGGACTCAGGTGGTGGTAGAAGTGGAGAGATACGTAGATGTTAAGAATTACTGAAGAGGGGTTGATGATAGATTGAATGTAGGAATAAGAGGGAGGTGGAAAGGATATTTCCTAGAATTCTGGCTTCTACAACTTGGTGTGATTGCCTACACTGAGGCAAAACACCAGAAGAAGACTAGGTTTTGAAGAATACAGATCATGAGCTTAGTTTTAGACATGATACATTTAAGGTGCTTTCAAATATCCAAGAAGCGATGTCAGATAAGCAATTGGATTTACAGGTGTAGGGCTAAGAAATGAGATCTGGGCTGAAAATATAAACCTGTGTTATTTACATATTGGTGATAGCCAAATACATGGATCTTGATTTAGAGTTTCCCAAAGCGCCA